GCTCGGCCTTCCCGCAGCCCCCGCTGCCTACGGCTTCTCATTGCGCCAATCCTCCCCAACCTTGGTGTTTGCACGCTTCCCGAGCGCCCTGCCGTTGCCATCCGCCATCCACAGCAGCTCGGCCTTCCCGCAGCCCCCGCTGCCGCCGCTTCCCCAGCTGCTACCCGCTTCTCATTGCATCTCATTGCGCCAACCTCCCAACCTTGGCGTTCGGTCACTTCCATTGTCATCCGCCATCCAAGCAACTGCCGACCATCACTCCAGGCGTAACTTGCTGTGCTCGCCTTTGGGGCCCGTTCTGCCCTGAGTAGCCCTGATCTGGCCCAGGTCAGCCTTCTCGCGCCGAGAACCCCAGTCTGGGGCAGATGAAGCCCCAGCAGCAGCTGTGGCTCTGCCCGCCGTCGCCCCCGCTGTTGTTCTGCTGCTGGTGTCAATCCGCCCTCCGCTCCTGCTGCTGCTGCTGTTGCTGCTTTGGCCTTTTCCGCCGGCTCTGCTGTTGCTGCCGCGCTGCCTTCGCTTTGGGTGCGCCGCGCCGCCGCCTCGCCGTCGATGCTGCTGCGTGTCCTCTTCCCTCCCTGCTTGGCCCCCCCCCGCGCCCTCTGTCTCTCCTGCTTTCATGCTCATTCCCCTTAGCTTGCCAACGTAGCCTGCGCGGGCATCACTAGCCCTGATCTGGCCCAAGTCGGCCTTCCCGCGTCGAGAACCCCAGTCACCAGTCTGGGGCTGTTGAGGCCCAAGCCGGCGCCTCCTCGGTTGCTCTGCTGCTGCTCGCTGCTGCTCGCTGCTGCCGTCGCTGCCACCGCCGCCCTTCGCTGCTGCTGCTGCTGCTCCTCTGCTTGCCACCCTGCGCGGCCCTCGCCTCGGGTGTGCCGCGCTGCCGCTTCCGCTGTCGCTGCTGCTGCGTGTCCTCCCTCCCTGATTTGGCCCCCCCGCATTTTTTCTGAGTTTGCCATCGTAGCCTGTGAGGGCCTCACCGGCCCTGATCTGGCCCAGGTCAGCCTTCTCGCGTCAAGAACCCCAGTCTGGGGCTGTTGAGGCCCCAGCAGCAGCTGTGGCTCTGCCTGCCGGCTCCACCGCCGCCCTTCGCTGCTGCTGCTGCTGCTGCTGCTTGCCGGTGCTCCTCTGCTTGCCACCCTGTGCGGGCCTCACGCCCGTCACTCCACTGTTGGCAGTCTTCGCCCCTCACACTGGCCGTCAGGGACCTCATCACGGCGGCTCCCTCCCACGCGTTCCTGCCTGTGTACTGGTGCCTTGGCTGTCGCCGGACTAAGCGGGCAGCCATGGCAAAGGTGAGAGCAGCGCAGGTGCGTCCGTGAGGCTGGGATATCTGGTCCGGGAAACCCTCTTCTGGCCCAGACCCCATTTCTCGGGCCGAGAACCCCGGTCTGGGCCTTTGCCGCCAAAATCTGTCCCAAAGCCTCCTCTGCCCCCTGCCGGACTTTATGCCCTTCGGGCTCCGCGCTACCTAAGAACCTAGTAAAAACCCCCTCTGGAACCCTCCGCGGAGGGGGCCGATGACGTTTGCGGAGGCCCCCCAAGATGTGGTGGGGGAAGAGTGTGGGAGGCCGCAGCCGTATGCTGCAGGTCGAATTCTTCCTTCCTTCCTTCCTTCCATCAAGCCTTTATTTGACCAATCGCTCATTTAATGCTACGGTATGCATCTTAAGATTCTTGTGGCTATGTGTTATCCTTGTTGCTTGTCTGTGGCATACATTTGTTCTGTTCTGGTCCATCGCCGTGGGGTTGCTAGATCTTAAGAAAAGGTGTTCCCTGCGCCCGATTATCCTTCTTCTTGGAGGGCCCTGCTGCATTCCATTGCCTGGCCCAGTGTCTGACGCCGGAGTGCCTCTAAAGTGTGAAATTTTCACAGTTTCTCTGGACTGCCCAACCCAAGAGTGCCCTTACAGTGCCCAGCCCAACATGAAGAAATTATTCTGGACCAACTGCTAGGGTGGGCATGTTCAAAGTAAGAAAACTGCGATTCTGTGGCATCTTGCTTGTATTTCATTGCCTGCAATGCTGCGCATTTTATGTTACACTACTATCTACGGCATTTACGTTGTTTTTGTTTTCATGCTTATCACTTTCACCGGGCATGCAACAGGCAGAACGTTTACTTGGAAATCATCAATCGAAGACACCAAACCATCTTTTTCATGAGGCACGCTGCAGTCTGGCCTTTATGTCAATTGTGCGGCTGCAGTGGGCGATGTTGCTAGCGCTCAGCAGTTGTTTCGCCCGGTGCAGTTGACATGACAACGCACAGCTTATGTCGCCATAGCTCCTGGCGTCAGCTTTCATTGCCAAGGAGACTGGGTGGAACCATGCAAAAGGAATCTTGGAGAAGGCCCCTGAGCTGGGGCTTTGGCCTTCCCCTTTCCCTCTCCCTGGCCGCAGAGCAGTCTAGAAGCCATTCTTTCAGCTGGTAGGCGTGTAAAAGGCAGATGGAACACATACCCGAGTACTATCGACAACTTGTCCTTTGCAAAAAAACCCCGTTGCTATGATATCAGGAAAAGCTGTGTCAATCTCTGTCCCTAATTTTGGTCGCCTGTCTCAATTAGAATACTTATTCTTGGCATTGACCCAAGATGACTGGTCCGTAGGTACTGTGGCAGCGCAATGCTTTGAGTTGCCGCCTCGGAAAAGAGCTCGTGCTGTGCTGCACCGATTTTTCAGCATCATTGCTCTTTCCTGCTCTCCCTGTGTGCCAGGTTGCACGTGTTGCAGGCGCACGCTTGCCGTAAACATGCCGCAGAGGCCAGCTAACGCTCGGTCACAAGTCAAAAAGATCTTACAAATTGTAAAGCAAGTGATCAAATAAAGGCGCCGTGGTGATGCCAGGCCAGGACACGTTTGGACATGCAAGAGTTTCGTTTCAGACGTCACAATGATATTGTTACGTCACTGCAGGTACCATTCTGGAGGCTGGTAAGCTGGTAGTACCGTGGAAGAGTTCCAGAGTTTCACCTTGTGCCGTCAACAAGGGCATGTGAACCTGCAAGCTCTGAGGCCCAAGTTACCTCGATTGACGGTTGTTGCTACAAATCTTGAGCGAACAGTGAACTGCTTGTTTTGTGCTTGTTGAGATTTTACTGGTATTCATGCCTCTCGCGATCCGGCCAGCCATTCTCTTGAGTTGACTGTAAGAAAGTACCACACCCATTTGGTTCGCTGAATTGAACATGCATTTTCGCGTTTCATCACACAAGCTTGAGCCCAGCCACTAATGCAGACTTTCGGCTGGTCTGGAACTTTGGATGGTAGCAGTTGTCATCATGGGATGACTATTTGCTCTGCGTTGGTGTGGAGGACGCTGAGTAGAGGGCCGTTGGCGGTAGCCTTGACACGAAGTTCAACTCAGGACGCAGCTTGCATTCTGCGGATGCAGGTGCCTCGCAGCCATGCGATGCAGGAGGCACGGACAGGTTTGAGTTGCTCTTGACAGAAGGGTCCCCTCCCCGCAAGATGAGGAGATACTAAGCTCCGGCGAGCCGCGGAGCCATGTCAAGGCATCTTGGCCGACAGTTGAGACTAAGGTTGAGTGACAGTTGAGCGACTCTGTTTGATCAGTTTGCTTCTAAGGTTGAGAAAGAGCAGCCAGAGCCGCACCCGCATCCACCGCAGAAAGCAGAGTCTGCTTCTTCTCCGAGGAGCACTTGCCTTGGCCGCTTCCTGATGCATCCTGGAGTTTGGCACAGAATTACAGGATTCGAGGTAACGTCCGAGCTGACAACAGAGCCTCCCTTGCTGCCAGACTTCCTAGCCGCAGGGGGCTTGGGTTGTGCCAAGTGATGGCCCATGTTTTCTGAACAAGTGCAGACATTTCTCGTTGCCGCCAAATAAGGTGCTGAGTCGTTTGCTGAGCTCGGCAATCTGTCTTGGCTGAATGCGCTGATCAGCTGGTTGTGGCCAAGTTTCAACAGGCCAGGACCGGTCACAGCTTGTGACGGTCCACAATTTGTAGGCTTCTTTGGTGATCTGTCATTTGCTTGCAGGGCGGTCATGGAGTTCGTGCATGAAGACCTGATGCCTAGGTGCAAAGAACACGGCCCAAGTTTTCTAAGACATCTCAGAAGCTCTCTGCTTGGCAGGTTACGAGATTCGCTTCCTTCCTTGTTCAGGCATCCTGCATTACCGACATTTTTGTGGTTATGGGGCTTCAGGATTCTTGTAGTTCAAGTTTGTGCTTGGATGTTTCTGTTCTCAGAAGACGCGAGGTCTGCTTGCAAAATGTATCAAGGCAGCCCAGATAGGAACAGCGCATATGATATCCAGCCCATTCGTCAAATGTCAAGGCAGCGCCTCCGTCTAAGCCTGCGCAGTTGTCTGCCAGGTCTCGGCTAATCCCATCCCACCCCCAGATGTTCGTAAAAACCCGGGGAGTTTGTCTAACCCTGTGGGGATTTGTGAGGGTTGGTGCGGTCAGTGTGCAAACTGGGGTTGTGCAATCTTGGTCGATTCGCGACAGCCGGGTTCATGCCATCGTTGGGGCACCGCAGGTACTCAAGTTTGGTCCTGGTAGGTGCTAGGTTCGTGATCTTCTTCGCATGCCTTGAAATGCACACCTTCGCAACTGGGTAATGATTGTTCGTCAAACCATGTCGGGGTCGTACTTTCGTGTAGCTTCGTGTTGAGCCTGGAGGATTCGTGGAATCTGTTGCCCTTTTTTTCAACAAGTCTTCAATTACTTACCTCCTGCCGGCCTGTCTCGAGCGTGGTGAGAGGTGTCTGGAAATTTGCTTGGACTGTGATGATTTGTATTTTGAAGATAAGGCATGTGCAGTGCTGCCGCTTTACGCTGGGCCAAGCCCCCAGATCTAAGGTGCGGGAACTCAGGAAGTCCCAGGAAAATGGGCTCGGGCTCTGCAGAAGTTCAGGTGAAAAAAGCCCAGAATTGGGGCCAGTGCAAGTCTTGGAGCATTCAAAGGATGGAGTGGACGTTGACCCAGACTTAGAAACTACTCGCAGCTGTAATATACTTGCAAAACTTGAGTTTGTTTGCAGCCTGACGAGGTCATTTCAGTGCAATACTTAAGTGATGCCCGGAGCTGACCGTTCTTCATTCTGGAGTCGCATGTCATTGTAGACATCTTGTCACTTCCGAATACTAGGTTGACATCAGCTTCGATGCTGGCAGTGGCATATCCTTTGGGGTGAGGCAGAAGATTGTTGTTCTGACGTTAGCTGTGGGCAATGCAGCAGAGGCGCCTTACTTTCAGCGGCAAGATGTGCGTGGCACTACGACCCCTACTGCAGCAAGAGCCCAAATCCACTGACGAGACCACATTGTTCATCAACTTTTCGTTTCTGCAGATCAGGCGCTTTCCCATTGCTGGTGCTGTGCACATCTTTTTTGCAGCTGCACCAACAGTATCTCGGACCTCACTGAGAGTGCAAACCTTGCTGGCAGCAATTCTTGTCAAGCAACGAGAACAGGCTGATGTTGCAAGCTAAAAGGTGGATATCGAATTCACTGGTCTGGCGTCTTTGGGCCACTTTCCTGGTCAGCAGCTCTGTGCAAACGGCTTGCCTGCATTGCCTGCAATGTGCGAAGTTGGCCACCGCCTGGCCGAGGGATTGAGACAACCATTCGCAGAGCCATCACCGACTGGCTCACCAGTTACATGGTTTTGCCACGAAGCAAGGACATTGCAGCAGTTGAGGGAACTCCTCCACCTGCCTCGTACCCTATGGTTGCAGGCTGTCATCCTTGCAGACGATGTCGATCCAATGGAGGCAGAGATGTTTGCTCGGAGCTTTGCGCTGCAACTTAGCCTGAAAAGACGACTAAACACAAGCCTTCAGCGATTGAATGTCAATGCTGCAGATTTCTGGAGTCTCCCAAGATAAAAAGAGCTGTACAAATTAAGCAGCAAAGCATTGGCTGTCGCATGCCTCAGCTCAGACTTGAACCTGCAAACACCATGACCATGTTGGGAAGCACAGCATGTGCGCATGAACATGTAGCGCAGAGACAGCCCGAGCCTGCAGTACGTGGGCTCGAGCTGCCCAAATTTTCTTACCCGCCCTCTCCGCCCTGTACACTCTTTGGAGTTAGGTCTTTGAACGTACGAGTGGGTTGTGTGTGGTGGGCGCCCGTACAGAAGCAGCCCGTCCCACCATGCATTGTCCATGGAACTCGTGTGACGCACTCTTGGGAGACCGCTCCACGTGAAAAGGAGTGCGTCGACAGTGCTGCTCATAGCGACATGTTCGCCCATACTGGACACCAAAGAACGTCTGTGTGCCGTGACGTGGAGCCGGATGTCACCTAGTCATCTCCAAACTTGTGCCGGAATTCCATGATGGCCATGACATAAGAACCTCTCGCAGCCGACCCTAAAACCTAAAACTCCATGCCGACGCTGGGGCTGGAGAGAGAAGATCCGATCCAGCTCTGGCCTGGCAGCATGGTATGATTTGGTGCGAACAGGCAACTTTCCTAGGGATCACCAACTGGACAAGCTTCTTGCATTGGTCCTGGCAAAGTCCATCCTCCGATTTCCCTTCTGCAGCTCAGAGCTTGTCAAAACTTCCTGCGCTTGGAGATAAACGCGCTTCGCCCAGCACCTTTTGCTCGGCTTTCATGTTGTGTTATTCTGAATCCGTTGCTCCGCAAGTGGGCCCCCGTCTCATGAGTTTGGAAGGTGGATACCTGCAGTATTGCTGTCTGAGATTAGAGCTGATGAAACCCATGTTTTGATGCTGCAATGCTGCTCCACCAGCCGCACAAGTCTTCGGCCGGTGGCCATCTGTGGTATCAGTAGCAACTCCTTGTGCCTGCCACGCTCATGGCACCTTGGAGCGGCTACCCTGTCTTGTCTCAAGTGGTCTGCAGGGTGTGCGGCAGTGCTGCGGTCGATGGTTGCACTTCAAGATGTAGGTGCAGGAGCCGGGGCATCTGAAGGTTGCGCTGTGGGCAGAGGCTTGACGCCTGTGTTATCCAGGCCTGAGTATTGGGAGGGATGGGTGGAGCCTGAATGAGCTTCCTTCAGACAACAGGTTGCGGCACATCCCCCAGAACAGTTGGAAAACGCATTCGGCCTCTGACATTGAGTCTGCGTTTATCTCCTCGTCTTTGCAAGCTGCTGGGGAACTGCATCTCCCTGTTGTGATTTCTTGTGAGGCTTTTGAGAGCACAGCAGCAGAAATTGAAAGGTGCAGGGGGAGCGCGGAACGAAGTGCCAACGTGCCTCTGCACAGTTCCAAACCTTGTTCAGCTCTGTTCCCCAGACCTTTGCCTTGCCTCCTGATTCGATTATGCATTCCGTCTGCTGTCAGTGCTTGTCAGCTTCGTCCGAGCAGAGCAGTGCTGTGAAAAGGGATGCGCCTCAAAAAACATAGTCAGGATCAAGAAAAAAGAGATCAATAATAAAGTTATTCGGGATCAACCAAAATTAGCCCAGCAATCCTCGTAACTGTCGTTGCTTTTGGACCCTTGGATCCTTGTGGAGTTCGAAAAGCGTCAACAGTCACAGGGATTGTGTGGCTCAGGGTCAGGATCCTCGAAACTGTCGTCGCTTTTGGACCCTTGGATCCTGTTGGAGTTTGAAATAAAAGTGTCAACAGTCACAGGGATCGGAGGTCGGGGTCGGGATCCTCGAAACGGTCGTCGCTTTTTCAACCCTGGGAGCCTTAGAGAGAGAGAGAGAGAGCAAGAAAGAAACTAACCAGGACAGCAAGGAAAAAAAGTAAGGCTTCCTCAACAGGTTACCCTTAGGCCCTAAATTCTGAACTTTAAAGCCCCAAGCAACAAATCCTTAAAGATCGGATAATCAGAGACGGAACGCTGGGCTAGTTTCACGGACCCGTTCCAGGCTTTATATAAGAAATTCGCCTTCCCAGCATCGAGCTAGTTTTTTTCAGGGTGTTGGGTATGCCGAGAACTCATGCGCACTTGCATTTGCATTGCGCTGCCATGCTCGATCTTGCTTCATCATGTTCAAATTTTTCACCACTTTCATAATTCTTTCATTTTTTGGTGAATTTTCATGTTTTCCATTATTCTAATCCTTTTCGTGAATATTCCTCCCCTTCGCATCATTCATCACATCACATTGCCAGATCTAACGCGGCGGAAGAAAGCCAATGTTCTAATCTTTGTCCAGGTTTTGCAGTTGGGGTGGGCTGTGCCCCCCGCAACTCCCCCCCCGGCTGTAACTTCACAAAGTACATTCGCGCAAGCATTTGTCATGATGTTCCCTCTTTGATGTCTTTTTGAACTAGTATTCATAATTTCTTTAATTTCATATATTTTCCATCATTTTTCATGATTTTTATGACTTGCATGTTTTCATGATTTACCATCCTATGTCATCAACTTCATCTTTTTTCATTTGCTTCATCATTTTCACATTTTTCACAGTTGTCAATGTTTTCTTCCTTATTCATTATTTTCATCACCTTTATGATTTTTCATGATTTGTCCATATTTTCATCAGTTGATGATTTTTCATCGTTTCTCTTCTTTTTGATCATATTTCAATAACTTCCATGAATTTCACTATGTTTCATGAATTTCACCATGTTTCATGACTTTCATCATTATTCACCAAGTTTCGTCATTTTCTCATCCAGTTTCCGCATTTTCTATCATGTCCATGAGTTTTCCTCATTTCCATCAAATTTCATCACTTTTCATCATTTTTCATAACTTTATGAATTTTCCTCACTGTTCATCATTTCTCATCATTTTCATGAATGTTGAAGAAATGACTTCTATCATTTTTCATTATTTTCATCTATTTCCGCTATCTTTCATCATATCTTCATGATTTTCACGATTTTTGATGACTTGTCAACAGGTGTTTTCATCATTTTCATGTTTCGTGGTGGCTGTTCATAGATCGATATTCTTTAATCCTTATTTATTTGTGTTTTTATCCTCCGAATCGTACCAGTTAAAGTATGCAGGCACCGAAAATCTTCATTTTTAGCTTTTTTTGATGCTTGTCAAATTTTCTCTTGATCACCGACATTTTAATTTCGTGGATCGCCCACCCCTGTGAAAAGGGCAAGGCGCAGAGCCCGAGCGAAGAACAAAAAGCAAGCATGCTAACTCTTTCAGTTTTTTTCAACGGTATGAGCTTCAGAGGCGTTTCAACGGATAGTTGGAGCGGCTGCAAGTGGCCCCGTGAGTCGGACTATTGCACAGTGTTTTGCAACGCTTCCGAGCAAGCGTCCAGAGCTCTCCTGGAGTGGTTACTGGTGGGACGTCGGTCGGCATCAAGATTCAGTTGTCTAGCTGTGGCAAATGCGCAATGGACGCTGGTAGGTTATATATGTATAATGGGTATGCTGTGGCAGGCTTTGGCACAGAAACCTCTTGGAGTGGTCAGGGTGAAGGCCTGACAGAGTGAGAATCAGCAGCACGTGCAATGAGATCCCATGTCCCGCAAGGTTCTTCAAGCTTGCAATCTTGCAGGTGTAAATTGTGGCGAGCCCAGATAGTTATTGTGGTTCGTCAGGATCAGACGACAGCACACGAGGTCATGCTTTCAAAGAAGATTGCTTCACTTCTCACCCATACTGCATCATGTCGTCATCGGCTCAGCGGGCAAGCTTCGCACCCCAAGTGCAGGCCATCTTGGCATAGGTGTAGGGTACATGTGTGGTCTTCGGGAGTGGGGTCAGGATCGCAGGCATAGCTCAGAAAGGCAGCAAGCAGAATTTGAGAGCGGCAAAGGCCATGAACATAACCAGCAGACTTTCACGACACACAACTTGGAAATGCTCAGAAGAGAACACAGACAGCAGCATCAAGGCTATGGCACCTTTCTTGATCTACTGCCTCCTCATTTTGTTTGGGTTTTGGCCTGGGCTTTCCCTTGATTCAGGCTTCCTGCTTTTTCGATTTGACATCTGCATCCTTTGACTTTCACTTGGAGATTTCGAAGCTGGTGATTCTGGAGGCAATGCAAGCTAACGGCTTGGAAGCATGATTCCTTCAAACAGGTTTTTTGTCTCCTTGGGGTTGGGGAGGGTTGGGGTGACTCAGCAAGCTGTGAGAGTCGTTCTTGGAAGCTTGGGGGCTTGAGACAACTCCGACAGGCTCGATTCGCTGCCTTTGACGCTCTTACTTGGCCGGGGTTGATGGACTTCTTGGTCGAGATTGCAAGCTCTTCCGTGACATTGTTTTTTCACTATGCCGTGTGCTATCACTAGAGAATTCTTGTGTCAGGTGTAAATCGGCATGCACCTTGCACAGCTTGACCTCAGCAGTGCTCTTCGTTTGCTGCGGCCGTATGGTTCAGGGGCCCCTTGTAGCCTATAGCAGTGAAAACAGGGTGTGCAGTCCGCTTCGCTTTGCATAGAGTGCTCCGCTTTGTCAGTTGGCACTGGAGCCTTGGCTTTGCGGTACGGCGTCCGATTGGGCCGCCAGGTTGCTTCGCTTGGGCGCTGTGTCGGCTGGTGAGAAGGCACTGGGCAGGCAGCTTTGTGACGGGGCGAGTTCACGTGGCCAAGCGTGTTTGGGAGTCCGAAGAGGGGTACAACGACCTCACTGGCTCTATACTTCGGAGCTTGGAGCACCCATTCAAGGAGGAACATTCCGAAGCCGGAAGCGACGAGGACACCCTGCCACGATCCAGGTCACCCAGAACTGGCGAGCGGCAGCCGTGTTCCTTGCCTACTGCCGATCAGCGGCTCCTTCTTCGACCTGTGCGTCTTGTTCGTCTTTGACCAGGTCAGGCGGCCAGAGCTCTACAAGCAGTTCTTCAGGAGTTATTGCCCGATCCACCGGAGCGTCTTCGAACTGAAGAAGTTCTACGTGGACTTGGGGCGGCATGGCGGAAGAAGGACAACCTCCACTTCGAGACCGTGACCCTCCTCCAGGATGGAGCGGAGAGAAGCCCGAGGTTACCGGAAGCCTTTTCTTCGTGACCTCGAGCTTTGGGAGGCAGTGACGGATCTCCCCAAAGGAAAGAGGGGCATCAAGCTCGTGCAGGCGCTCAGTCTTGCAAGGAGGTGGGGCAAAGCCTTTCTGTAGGCGAGCTGGTGGCGGAGGATGGCTTGAAGAAAGTCATCAAGGTGCTCGAGGAGGCCAGGAGACCGCTTTGCCACGGGCGATGGCGTCGGCGTTCTTTGGTGCCGCTCGCTCGCGCAAGGAAAGCATCCCGCAGTACATCGTCAGGTTTCAGCAGGCGCAGTCTGTGCTTAAGGCTGAAGGAATGGATCTTCCCACCAAGGCGTCTGGCTACCTCCTCTACAGGCATGCCAACCTGGACAGGGAGTCGGAGGCTAAGCTGACCACCTGGCTCCGAGGCTCGACGCGGTCATCTCTGGAGAGTGGTGCCGGACCATGTATCCGAACTGCTGCTTCGGTGGCTGCAGGCGCAAATGGACCATTATTGTTCACAACTCACAGACCCTGCGTGTTCTCCTCCACAAGCCAGATTGCCTTGGGCATGATTTGCTGGGCACGGAAGAAGAAGCGGAGTATCCGTGGGAGCTCTGCCTGACTTTTTAGCCGAGGCTGTCAAGCACAAGTTTGACCGCCGCTCCGCTGAACCTTGTGGTGTCAGGGCGCTCACTTTGGACTCCCTTATCTACCGCCGGTTGAAAATCCACTCGTGGTCTTCAACATGAGGGAGCCGCCCGTTGGGCAGATGCCCAAATGGTGAATTTGGGCTCAATGAACGAAGGCCAGGAAAAGAGCACCTTCGCTGGCTACTTCGCCGTGTTCACCGCACCGTGACCCGCTGGTTCTCATCAACGTCTTGGTGCTGAGTGCCTTTCTGGCTGAACCTCGCCGATGCACCCGGATTCCAAGCGAGCACGGGCAACGCTTCTTTTGTGTCTTGGATTGCTTGGTAGTCTTCTACGTGCTTTCTAAGGGAAGGTCATCCTCACCTCGCCTCAATCGCCTGTGCCGCCGTACCTGCCCTTGACGTCGCTGCCGCCGTGAGCCCCCTGACGTTGTGGGCAATTTCAAAATGTAACTTCTCCGATGGCGCCTCAAGGAAGTTCGAACCGACACGATCACCTACGGTTCTTGGGAATCACGGACAAAACAAGGCGCAGCTATGAAAAGGCAGTGATGGCGCCAATTACTCTCACGCCCTACGGGGCAGACTTCCAGCAAACCTCGTTGACCTGGATGAGGAACTTGCTGCGTATGTTAATCATCTTTATCAAGAAGAGGAACATGTCTCCCTTGCTGGCTGGGCCATGTCAGGCTTGAGGCGGTCCATGCCTTGCTGCGAGCTCCACTTGCGCGCTTCACAGCTATTTCTTCGCAAGTAACTGGCAGCAAGTTCACCTGCCTCGCCGCGCTACACCGGAGCAAAAGCTATGGCCGCTGCGGCGTGTAAAGTTGGCAGGATTTACGCGCCATACTCGTTTTGCTGGGGTTCTCCTTCTTTTTGAGAACCATGGAACTTTTGAGCCTTCACTGTCATCATGTATGGCTTTTCAAGAACGAAGGCACCGTCATTATTGCAATCATCAACTGTAAGACTTCTTGACATCTTCAACAATCGCAGGCGCTGCATGAACCAGCTTTGGTGGCTGTTTGGGATTATCTGTGGAGTTGGTCACCGACTGAGGGACTCATTATTTGTGGCTCTCCCCTGGCCTTTCGCCCAGCCTTTGCTAATCTGGTACGATCAGTTGGCATGGAGCCTTCTGATTATCTTCCTTATTGCCTTCGCAGGGGAGGTGCCGCCGCACTTTTACAAATCTATCCAATCTTTGGGTCGCACGGTGGTGCGGAAGATGGCGTGACCAACAAACTTGCAGGATTTACGTGGATGATGTAAGGGCAACTCTGATTCAACTTCATCCGCCCGCCCACGTAACCGCCCTGCAACAGTCACTGTCTTCGTTTTGGCTGGTGGCTGCACCAGCTTGAGTTGTTGTTGGACAAGTTGGAGATGGAGGTTGGTGCATTGCCACTTCTCTTGGCTCCCAGATGGAGGCCTCCTATGGGAGAGACGGGCTACGGCCCAGGCTTAAAAGGGGTTGTACAGACTCCCTGGCCTGATAGGCCCGCACCAACTTGACTTCGTGCCAGCCTCCCGGGGGGAAAAAAATGGAGCCGACTTTAGCAAGAGAATAACCAGTGTGACCAGCGCGAATTTGTGAGTGCGCAATCATCACCATTTCTCATGCTGTCAAGCCCCGTAGGGGGTTGGCTTCCATGTCGTCCCCACCTCCACTGGTGCATTGCCACTTGGCTCCCAGATGGAGGCCTCCTACCGGAGAGACGGGCTCCGGCCCAGGCTTAAAGTGGGTTGTACAGACTCCCTGGCCTGATAGGCCCGCACCAACTTGACTTTGTGCCAGCCTCCTTTGGGAAAAAAAGGAGCCGACCTTAGCATGGGAAATTTATTTGATGGTTTATTGTGGCTGCCTGCTGTTGAAACCCTTTAGAGTAACGAGGGTTGATTGAATTTCGTGCGCGGCGCTCCAACCCGCCCTTCACATTGCCCATGCGGAATGGGCGTGCAAAGGTTCATCTCGTGTCCGTGTGGAGCGTCCAAGTCAGAAGGCGCAGAACAGGAGGTGTTTTGCTGCCTCGATGGGTCTTTCACATCATGTTTTTGCTTTGAGTATTGAGTGTCCTCCAATTGGACGGCTCCTGGTCTCGTGTGGATTGGATTGCTGTCGTGCCCGTTGAAGTGTTCTTGGCATGCTCTTGAGGTTCTCTCGTTCATCGCTTTTCAAGTGCTCCTTGAACGTTCGGAGCTATGGGCCATGGGCGTGCTGTTGGCGTGGTCCCTGCTTGGGGAGTGCTTTTTGTGCTTTAGGGACTCTAGTTTTGCGAGTCGGTGTGCGCAGATAGGTCACGGCTTTGACATGCATGGCTTGTTTTGGTCTATATAGCTCCTTAACAACTTCACTGCGGTTGTCAGCATCATGGACTTCAATATCCGATTTGGTCGCAGACCCCTCCATCCGTTGAAGGCAGGGTTTCTGGAGTTTGAAGGAAGCTACTGGATGGACAGGGCCAAGGCTTGAGGCCCCAAGAGGCAGCCGCCAACGAGCCCTTCCCTCAAACATCTTAACACCTCTCGCACCAAGAACTTATATAGGTCCATAATATAGGTCTTTCGAGGGGTCTTTGTTTAGGCGGGAAATGGCCGGACCAGATGGGCTTGTCTCATGGCTTTGCATTTGAGTTTGATCTTGCATTTCTTGGACACATTTCATGTCATTGGGTCTCTCTAGCGCAACGTAAAGGCCATGACTTGACGACTCAGAAGTTCCATTCCCACGCTTTGCAATGTACCTCGCATCTCCTGTTTCCTGAAAGCTGCCGCGGTGGCCTGGAGGACTCATTGCACATATTGCACACACCTTTGCATGCCATCGTTTGCAGTTTTTGGTCATGTGCCTACTGCATAGGAATCTTGTAAGGCATGAGGTACGTATGGGCGCAAGCGATTCCAAGTGGGCTTGGGCATGCGAAGAGTTCTTTTGTGTTTTGGTTGATTAGTTGGTATCCGAACAAGTGAGTTATCTCTAGCCTCCAGCACATGACTCTGTTATACTCTGCTATTTTGAGGCTCGGTGATTGTTCGGTGAGAACATCTACCGTTTATGATACTACAAATCCTGTTTGGCCATCTACAGAGCACAGCGCTGAGTCAATCGTTGGATGTCTTGTGATGTTGTAGTTGTAGAAGCGAGCCGTGATGAGCTAAGAACTGGCGCTTTTTTTGTCGTGCACCACCGGGAGCAGGAGATGTCAGTTCAGGTCGGTGGCAAATGATGGTGCAATATCCTGCATAGGACTCAGAGACTCAAGTGCAGTCTGAGGTACATGGAGAGGCAAGTGCAAGCTTATTCCAGCACAACTTCACGGGCTTCCTGGGATGTCGGAGCCTGTGTCTAACCGAGCGTATGCTTGCTGGAAAGCTGTAGACTCAGGTGTTTCGTGTCGAATAGGACACTGTCTAAGAAGATGGCCTGAAGAGGCGAGGGGATGAAAGCATCGATCACGTATGACCGTTTATATCCGCCTGTCATGGTTTCTCTTGTTTGTCCCGTTTTGTCGAGCATGGACAGTGCCCTTCGGGCAAGAGTGGAGTTCGCCGCAGCACCCAGAAGCTGGACACATCGCAGGCGGGGAACGCTGAGCTACCGTTGGCTTCTGCGGTGTTGCCGTGGTGCTTGCGCGTGGTCTGTTCTGAAGGTTCGTCGCGAACTTCTGCATGTGGAGAGCTTGGTGGGGCCAGGGCATTTGTCGTCACTGGAAAGTTGCTGTGGGTGTGGAAGCCGTGTTCGGCACGAGGTGGATGACCCAGTGAATCGAGGCGTACCATCGGTGGTAGACATGGAGGTGCAGTGGTATGCGCCGGCCTTGTTGTTTCTGGGATTGCTGTGGAAGCGTATTGCTGCAATGTGGTGACTTCATTGCAACACATGCCAACAGTTTTTCAGGCGTTCTCCAGTGCAGATACTTGGCCGGCTGACGCAGCTTGAGACTTGGACTGTTGCATCATGATTAGCGCAAGACAGTTGTTAGGCTGGACAGCTCGTCTCCACTATGTTTCAGTAGGCCGATCCAGGGGACAGATGTGTCAAACAACAATTTTCCGAAATGTCTGGTAGCAGACGCGCTTGCGTCAAAATGCCATGTCTGTAAAAGAAAAGTCGCCACATGCGTGTACCGCTGTTGCTCGGTTTCACTTTGCTGTAAGGCGGCACCGGTGCGGCGCCACGTGTATATGCAGCCTTTCTGCTTTCCCGTATGTAGGCACTGGGATAGCGCCAGCGTGACGCCAGGGATTCCTTTGATCATAAGTCAGAAGATGCAGTCGATAAGATCTCCAAAGATGAGCTGATGGTACCAGAGTTCTTTCGACTTGGGGGTCTTTGGGTGGCTGCAAAAAATCTGAATCATGATGCGTAACTCGGGCTAGATTGGCACTGCCCTCGTGCAAATCAATTCAGAGGCCAAGTGCTTACTGTGAGCCCGTCCGAGATATGAAGCAACATCGGGGCGCCTCTACCCCGATCCATTGCACGGGCAAGCAGGCGGTCCATGCCCAAGCCGGCACCCACCGCCCTTATTGTTGGGGCGGCTTCCGTCAGGAACCTGGCGGCGGCCTCCAGACCAAGTTCTGGCAAATGAGGCATGTATTTGCTTGTGACATCGCCGAGGGACGATGCCGATCGGCTTTTGTAAGCGTTGATGGCCGATCCCATAGCTGCGTGGAGACCGTTGCGAGGCATCATGAAGCACACGCCGGAATGCTGCCACAGCGATAGCCAAAAGCCTTGGTTACTACCAAGAAACCCAAGTCTCCTTTGGGATCTTTCCCTCAGATTAAGTCAAGACGCCTAATATGATTAAGGTATGTTCTATATACTCTGTCAAAGGAACTTGGGCTTTCCAAGATTGGTCTTCAAAGGCTGGGGCAATCTGGTCCGTTAAAACAACTTGCAATACAACAGCTTGAGCCCCCTGTACCCGAAGTTCTCGCAGACGCTATTCGCATTACGCTGAGGCTCGGCAGTTCAAAGTTGCAATGATATTTGGTATGGGGCAAAAAAGAAGCTTTGAGTTGGCTTAAGTTACCCAGAGTTCCCCACGCTGATTGATTTAGGCCAAACTCGTGCCAGCATACGTGTTTCCATTTCCTTGATGATGCACAGTCTAGACATTGCCACACTTGAGGTGCCCGCAACCCATTGATAAGAGTTATGTAAACCAGCAAGGTTATAGCGGGCTTTGGGGGATACAGCTTATCGAGGGTACAGGGTATCGGGAAGTTATTTATATGTATAGAGAAGGTATAAGAGGTTCAAGCGTAGGGAAGGTCGCCATGTGCTTGCGCGTACAACCAGGATGGATAAATTTGCCCTGATGTCTTTACTGATCGTAAGAGGAATGGGTGATGCGTCTGGCAACCTTCCTGACCGCAGGTTTTCTTCAGGTTCTGTGCCTTTTGTGTAGGGCTGGCATGAAGGATGGACGCGAAGTCTCCGAAGGCTCGAATCGGTGGTTCAGATAGGCCCGGATGCACTACCCAGGAACCCTAAATGCGACACCTGATACGCTATTGATTTTGATTGTTGTTATTTTGAAATATTTTGAAGCTGGATTGCGTTGTTGTGGGCACAAGCAGTTTGGAATAGTTAGCAACTGCAAAGTGAAGACTCTATTGAAGCAAGGCGTAGCATTCGAAGTAAACCCTTCCGGTGTATGCTATAGCTATGTGACAAATAGCTGCAGGGACCTTGTGGGTTCTTGCGCGCAAGCAGAACTCCCATTTCCGTTGGTGAAGGCACTCTTGATGATTTTTCGGGCATCGCATGTATTTAAAACAGCACTGATGTTTGCACTTGATATTTGCTCTTCCACAAAAACTACGTGCAAGAAAAGCATGCCTGTTATACAACTCACCATCGGCCCATTGCCTTGCCATGAGTCCATCTCCTAGGTGTTTGTCCGCGTCCATGATGAGTATGCTGCCTCGCTTCTGCCTAAGTCAGTTTCGAGCCGCCCCATCTAGCCATCTGATTTTTTTTTGTGTCTCGGCATGCGTTTTGTTCTTTTTGGTATATCCGAACCTTGCGAAATCGTTTCCAAAACGCTTCTGTTACATCTTGCGGCGACCTCCTGATGGTAACATATGTAACATGCTTTGACAGTTCGGAATCTTGTCTTCGAACTGGGACTTTGAAAGCAGCAGGTATTTTCGGACAAAGCCTACCGCGAAGTGTCCGGTATGAATTTGCTTGTAATCTTTCGATCGTGAAAAAGTATCTTGGAATGTCTAGCTCTAGAATCAGTTGTGCTGTACAATGCGGCTGAGAGCGGAAAGTTCAGAAAACCTACAGGAGACAATCAGACAATTGATTGGATTTATCCCAGTCAGAGAATTCCCCAAATCCAAAAACTTGAGTCAGAAAAGAATCTGTGCGGCCGGGTCAGAAACCTCACCCACACTGTGAGACCCACACCATGAAAGTCATACGTGCCACATGATTACCCAAGATGTGTTCAGTCTGCAATGTAGAAACTTTCGTCGCGTTGGCATGCAGCTTCCTGCCGTATTTAGCACTCTTTTCCTGCAGTATGTCACGTCATCATCTCACAGCTTGCGCAGCACCTGTGAGCAGTGTAATGTTGGTGAAAAAGCCTGAGACACTCCAAGATTTGAGAATCTTCGGCTTAGATCCAGAAGTCAGGCTTACTAGTTGTCGTTGTGTTAGATTGTTTTCGAGCATTATTACAAAGCTGGGTGAAACTGATGTCCGCCAAAACTGTTTTCGAGGATGATGCAAGCACTGCACTGCTCAGAAAGTGCAGGAAAGCGGGCAAGAGGTGGTAGGAAGCTACGCGGTCAGTCAGTCAACTATGTTCTTACTGCTTTCTGCTCTCACAGAACATACCAAGCAGCTTTGTTCCCACCCTTTCCGACTCATACGTTCGCTTTGTGAATTCACCGCCCACCATTTTAAGACTCGAAGTTGTTGACTTTCGGACTCAGACCCCCATGTTGCGACTCGAGTTTCTCGACTTCCCCCCACCCATCCCCACCCCACTCAAACTCAATTGAAATCGTTTTGATAGCTCACCCTTGTCCAGGGAGGCGGCTGCTAATGTTCTTGGTGCCTTGGAAAGATCATGCAGCAGGGAAGATACAAGTGAAAGAACCTTTTCAATGGGTGACTTTCTGTTCATCAATTGGTTTTTGCTCGAGTCCTGGGAGAACAGCTTTCTATCCTGAGGCGCCTGCAGCGCTCATGCTCGAGATCTTCCAAGGTTCCGGTTTTCCAGCAGACGGCCACGGCGGGCGTGGACTTCGTTGGAGGATTGCTGGTCTTGCACAAATGATGTCAGTGCTCGTTTGTTGAAAAGAAATAGAAGAGTATCTATGTGCCCCTGAAGGAGTTGGATCGATGGGAAGGATGCGCTAGCAATTTGCTGAAAATCTGCTAGACAGTTTTTCATGCGTCATTCTGTACTTTATGCAAAGGACGCACAACGTTCTTTCTAGTTCCTAAGGTGAGCCAAAAGGGCAAGCTAGAAGCAGATGAGCGGTGTGCCTAGATGTTTCCTTTGCTGGGCTCCATTTCTGCAATGTACAAGCAGAGCCAGTCCCATGACTCTCCAAGGTTGCAGTTTCCAGATCTCCCGATCAATCCTCGACTTTTTCCAGTCTGAAACTCAGGTGTTGAAATCGGTGGTATATGTTTGCAAAACAGTATGTAATGGACAGTGAGAAGAGACGTGTTTCAGGGCATATGCGCAGCCCTAAAAAACGGACCCGTTGTTGGCCCTCGAGCGCTCCCACGGTTTAGCACAGTTCAGGGCACTTCTCAGATGCAGAGCAGAGCTGCATCATGCAGGTCAATGGAAACGCGTTACAAGTCAGGAAACTGTGAGATCCTGCAGTGTGAAGTTGGGGGTTCGTGTTAGAAGGACAGAGTGAAGGAGGTTTGGCTGCTGAGAAGGGCTGGCGACTAGTACATTGCTGCAATCTCCTCAGCCTTCCGAGGTCATAGACAACCTCACTGCCCGTCAGTATTGCTTGAAGGCGCCCTGCTTGAGAGGATTTGCCAAGACCTGCAGCAAGTCGTGACTCAAGGATGTGGCGCAGATTGTTGGTGTTGCAGAAGATTTAGTGGTGACCTACCTGCGGACTGTCTTGCAAACGTGCATTTGGTTGCAAGTCATTTTCCTCATTTTTAGGTTCATGGTCGAATTGCAGGACAAGAGATGAGTTTCGGGACAAGCGGGACCGGCTTCGAGAGGCAGGAATGGATGAGCTGGAGATGTCTTACTGTGATTTGCATCCGCAATCAACGCTTGTTTAGATTTGCGCCCCTGTCTTAGAGGGGATGCCCCATATCGATGAGCTCGATGCACGATCTATTTTTCACATTCGAGCCTACCCCTGAACGAGGTGCAGTCCAAAGATGATTACCGGATCGAGCTGCAATGGTCAATGGCCAAGTTCTATATTTTGGTCAAGATGGAAGTGCCAAATCTTGTTTGCTGATGCCTCAGGTTCCAAGTTCTTGTGCACATGGTTGACCAATCTGATGTGTCCAAGAACCTGAACATAGCGCTGCTGGATTCGCAGGACATGGGTTCCTTCTTGCAGTCGGGCAAGCACACACACCATGCAAAATTAAATCTTTGTCAGAGAGCAAGGGCACCGCAGTATCGAATCTGGAGTCTCTCTCTCTCTCTCTCTCTCTCTCTCTCTTTCTGTATCCGTGCAAGGGAGGCGATGCTCGGCGTGCTCTGGCAGACAATGTGAATCCCTGCGACCACAAGATTGATGTTCGTCAAAGTATCTTGACAATGGCACAGCAGACGGTGTGCAAAGGCCAGCTAAACGGATAGATCGGCGATACAAGTAGCATTCGAGGGCCAGCAACAAGCAGAGGCGTAAAGCAGCGAACTCGCAAACAGAACAGCGGTTTCTCGAATTGCACACTCGAAAAGCAAAGCAACATTGACAGTTGCACTTTCAAGCTCAGGTTGACGGGGGGCTGAGGTAGGTCAAGCCCTTCATGCGTGCGCGGCTTTGATGTATTTTCCCGAAAGATTTCAGCGCGTCTATGAAACATCATTCTTTCGTGCTGCCTCTTCAATATCATCTACAGTACTGATGTCTGTATTGATCGGTGATGTGAGTACCCTACGGTTTCGGCGCAGTTTTGTGCGAGCGCTGGAGCATGCTGGAGCCCTCGGCAAGGACATTGGTCAACTGCGGCTCACCCTCGGGGGCAGTGCTGGGAACTGCTTTCCTTGCCCTACTTCATGAGACAGTATTGCTCCCCTGCGTGCCCCTCCCCTGCGTGCCCACCCCCTGTCTCAGTTCGAAAACTGACTGGCAAGACCAACATGCAGACGCCTGGAGTGTTCGGAAGTGGAAATCATTTACAAGGCTTGGAACTCAACCTTCCTCTCCAAAAGCTAGCTCGTTCTTGTACATTCAACCTGAAGCTGCGACAATCAACACTTCAAGCAGACAGGTTTTTTTTTTGCAAGCACAACGAACGACTAATGAGAGGTCCTAAGTCTGCTGTTGGAGCTGCCCGCCCAGGCTCACTGTTGTCCCCGGAATTAAGTTGGCTGTCGTGAAGAATTCCGCATGAGAAATCCGAGCCTGAAAATGGCACCCTGCCAGCTAAGATTCGCTGCTTCTGTTTTCAGACCACCTATTCTCATGGTGACGGCTTCAGCGCGGGCGCCCTTCTAGACTGCAACAGGACATGTTAAGTGACCTGGGTCAGGATGCCGAAGTTGGGCGTTTGCCAAGTATTTCTGTCAGGCCGGGTCCTCTGCAACATGCGCGCGATATGCTGAAAGAAGTTCGTAGGCTTTAGCAGAGAAGAGTAGGGTGCTGCAGATACTGTCAATCCTTCACGGCAGTGTCAGTTTACATCATGCTACGACTTTTTCAGCCAGAGATTGAAAGAGGCGAGGGAAAAGGCAACTGCAGCCGTTTAGCACTGTCCGCATTCATGCTGATGTCGCAAGCGCCGCTCATTGTGCACTGGGCGTGGACGCAATCAGGTCAGTTCTGGAAGACTCCAGGCGGAGAGCCACACCCCAGCGCACCTGCTCATTGCAGGCGGGTTGGCTGTCAGGTCCATCACTCAAAGTCTGTGGCTGGAAGAGGGACTGCACTGGAGGCTTGTCCCGGCGAACGTGGAGGCACGGGGTCCAGTGGCTCCAACATGCTCCGACTGCTTGCAGATGCTTGCAGCGTGTTTTGCAGCGTGTTTTACAGCAGGCTTGGTTTGGCTTGGTGGTTGGACGGACAAGGGAACTCTAGAAGTGGCTCGCTTTGTCCGGGCCTTGGTGCAGACTTTTCTTGTGTGTTGCACTCTTCTCTGAAACGAGGCCAGTGTTCAAATGGACATCTCTCTGAAGATCTGCGGGCTTAAAGAAGGATAAACCAATTAGTCATGTCTTGCCCGGTCTGGCATCATAAGACTCCCTGCTGTCATACCATTCCTGTTTTTGGCGAGGAAGCCTGCCACGAGTTTGAGGCGAAACTTGGCATATCACGTGAGCTCCTGCGTGGACAGCGGGAAGTACCTGTTGCATCCAGCGGGCAATCCTGGCGAACTTGAACAACGACATTATGCTTCAGGACTGCCGCTTAGACTGTTCGTGGTGCCCAACAGCAGAAGAAGAAAGTCTTGGCAGATCGAGCTTGGGCTCCTCTCGCATACCATTTTGTTGATGATTAGCTTATGGCGCAGACTATATAAGCCTCGAAGTACAACACGCTTCAGCCTGACATGAAGTGCGTAAACGGCGGGTTTGTTTTTGAACACTAACGGGTTGCTTCGAGGGGTCCTTTGCTTCGCTTGCTCTTTGCAAGCCGATTAGATAGACACTTCTCTTCCAGGCAGACAGCTCATGAGAGATTTGGACGTTCAGACAGGACTCAACAGCTGTTGGGGCAGAGCAGTTGCAGGTTAATCTGAGGTATGTGGCTCTTTGTATCTCTTTGTCAGGGTTCGGGGGTGTGCGTGGACACATGCAAGATTGACTGTGCAGCTGTGCAGCTGCATGCCGCAGCTGTTTGAGCAAATGCCTTTGGCCGGAGGGCCTTATTCCAGGCCTTGAAAGCTGGTTTCTGCAGAAGTGAGAAGATGACAAGCACAACGTCGTCAAGTCTGGCTGGCAGGTGTACAGAATGGCGCAAAGAACTCCGTCATATGTGCCCCCGTCTTGTCCTCATGCAGTTTTGTGAGGTTCCCTTGCCCACAGAGAACGGCATGCGCTACTGTATGAAGTATGGGCGCATTTGCGAAGATGAGTATGCACTTGTGTCCGTGAGTAGGATAGATTGGACAGTGCGCCTGCTTCTCGATATAGTGCGCGGGATCTCGCCAGCTGAGAAACCATCCCAAGATATGTTTTGTTGCTGTTTGTTTCCGTTCATGTTTTCAGATTGGCCAGAGTGGCGGGCGAAGGAGCCAGGCCTGCGTGCTCTTGTCAGGCACGAAAGCTCCTTGGAGCTTGGCCTAGGTCGCCTGAAAATGGCTTCAGCTTAAAAGAAAAAACAGAAGGGTTATGTGCATCTGAAGAGGGGCCCTCAAAACGCCCCAGCACGGGGGGGTTGGGCCTTCAAATAACCCTCCAGACGATCCTGCAACGGGAATGCTTTGGCCTCCTTGTTGATGGGAGCTTTCGGTCCCCCTGCTCTCGAAGCCTCAAGTTGAACAGGCGTTCTATCTGACACCTCATGAGAACACTCCACGAACAAACATGTACATGTCTAGGATTTGAGCTCCGACGCAAGGATTTTTAGAGTGAACCTGCAGCATGTGCAGACAGAATCAGAAGGCCCGGCGCAGAACCGGCGCTTCCTATAGCATCAGGGGCGGGCAACTCATGGATCTGCAGCGATTTCCATGATGCGTTTCTTGAGATTCAGTCAGCTGAGGGACAAGGCGCCGCCATCACAGGTAGTGGGGTGCCAGCGCCAGGATCTCAGTTTGGCAATCTCGTTATGACCGGATTGTGGACGCGAGAGGTATGCGGCGCCTGTACAGAATGGTCAAGCTATTCCGCAGCTTCATACTCCTCCACCGCCTGCCGTGCAACTTCCTGGGTTTGCTCCTCCTGTTGGTGCCTCATTGCTGCATGCTACCTTTTGAGGCGGAAGTGCCTCACTGCAGCTGAGGTGTTGAACCAGCCACAGCTTCAAGCCCAAAGCTTGTCGAATGCACCTCAGCCAGGGTCCTGGTCCTTTGAGGCAGACTGCACGCTGAGAACGGATCGAATGGCTGTTTGCTAAGGCAAGGGGGCTGCGGGGTTTGGAGCCAAGAGTTGGTGTTGATTGTAGGTGGCCATGTTGGCATCGCTCAGACTGCCAGAGCACGCTTGGAAGCAGTTTCTAGGACAGACAAGCGTGGTGTTGGAATGGATTGACCCGTAGGACGTAGGCCCATTGAACTTGAAGGCATTGATGCCGGGTGCTGGCTTGCCGAGCCCAGAGGCATCACTTGGTCTGTCGACATGTGGCCAACATGTGGCCGCTGCGAACATGGATTCATTGCATACTGGCAGGTGATCCAGAAGCAGAAGGAGGGGTACATCAGGTAGGCCCGCGTTGATTCCCATTTGAACAGGTGCCCAAACACCGGGGTGCCCTTGACAGGCTTCTGGATGAGCAGCTGAAGCAGGGGCAGGCAGGCAGAACTTGAATGGCAATTAAGATGTGCAGCATCCCTTCGCACTTTCATTTGCCAGAATACCCTGGAGCAGCAACGGAAGCAGCAGTCTGAATATTTGCATACCCAGGCCAGCAAGCAGGGAAAGTGTACGTAGAGTCACTTTGCTTGGGGTTTTCATTGTTTGAGGCCCAACAGCAGAAGCAGCAGGTTGACATGCAGATCAAGCAACAGGCCCATTTTCTGCTGGTTCCATGTTAGTATTGCAAGCTGCAATTGCAAGCCTCTGGATCTACGGACTGCAGTGAGGGGTAGAGAAGAAGAACAAGAAAAAGAGGAAGCGGAGAAGATCGGACACAGTGGGCTTGGCGAGGAGCCGTGAAGAAGAAGTAGGAGGCCTTGGCGGTGGAGAGGAAAGGCCGGACAGATGGGAGCCCTGAAGACCCATACAGGGTCGCAGACGATCCAGATGGGTGGCTTCATGCCTTCGGCGGCCTACCACCCTCGAGAACCCTGACGGGACGAACAGCCCGAAGCCAACTGTAAAGATCTGTAAAGTGTCTCGAGTTGAGAGATCCGGATGGGAGCCGGCCAATAGATGAACCGATACCTACATGCAAGCAATGACCTCGCTGCAGCGTGGTGTTGAGACCCACCCCAGTGTCAGAAGCCACCCTGTCTTTTAGCTGTGATTTCGCGGCGTCACTTAGATCCAATAGCCTGTGCTTTTCCGTGCATGCTGCAGCACGCCGAGTTTTTGAAGGCAAGTGGGATCTCTCCTAAGGCTGGGTTGTGTCATAACATAATGAGTTGCACGGACGTGTTTCATGGCGGGAGATGCGGTAGTTATTCTTTGGCATTTTAGCTTTGTGTATTGGGAAGCCATGGTGCGATTTTATTTATTCATTCATTCATTGTGGCATACAGCGGCATACAA